AAAAAAAAAAAAATCAAAACCCTCACTCCAACCTTCACATTCCAAAGGAAAAGTAACAGTGCAAAAGCCCATCGCGTCATGATTTCCGCTCCGGCCCTCAGTGTTACATACCGGAACCGCACCAATCCAATTTTTATTATCCAAAGTGGGACACGCAGCAGTGTCAATATCCGAATACTTTTAAAGCATGAACATTTTTGTTTATTAGCCAACACAACTTCCAACTGTTAAAAAAAAAAAAAACAAACAACAAAAAACAACAGACAAGGTGAAACATGATTCGAAGGGTAAGAGTTAAACGTCACGTCCCAAGGTAACCACCTCCTGCTCGTCAGTAACAGTGGGAATAACGAGCACTGGAACCAGCAATCTTGATCCATTAAGCTATTAAAGTCTAATTAAGCCTATAAGTCAGAAAATATTTGATCAGCTTTGTTAGAGGTTTGTTAGAATCATGCATCTGATGAGCAAAACTGACCGACAGATAGGAGGAAAAAAACCAAGAAAAGCACTTTATACCTTTGTTTACCAATAGTAATTACTGGAAGTCCTGCTTTGTCTCATCCAAATTCTTACCATTAATGCTGTTGTACAGGGCCCTTACAGATTCCATACGCAGTTGTTACCGACGTGAGAACACAGCTAATGAACTCCAATGTCAGCACCAATAAGTTAATTAAAAGGAAGGGGGGGTGTTACATCCTAAAAAAACAAAAAAGCATCAATTTTGGGAGAACGATTTTTGTCAGCTACTTCAACGTTTGTAGGCGACGGTGGTTGCACTCCAAGGCATCTGCAGTCCGGGGTGCCAATCACACACCCAACGGGAATCTCAAGCCCTACTCCTGGTGACATCCCTACCAACAAACAACTGCTGGTTTCGAAATCTAATCTGGTGGGTGGCTGGTTTGTTCTTTTTAAGTAGCAAATAATACATTTGGGACAAGCTCTGCTTCTTAAAAAAGGACACATCTTCATGTACACACAGTGTTGAGAATGGACTGCAGCGCCGGTTTCCTCTGGATCGTGTGTAATGTCTGTTTTTAAAACATTATAGGTACTGAGTATTCAAGTAAAATTCCCTAACAGTTAACGACATTTTTTTTTTTTTTTTAAAAAAAGTGTGCAAAACTGCAAAACTCATTGTAATAGAATGTGTAAGGTCAAAGGGGTGGAACGGCTGACAGAGGTTTGATTGAATAAATGCATCGTAAATCTTCAAAACAAACACTAACCTGGAGAATCTCCAATTGAAATTTCCTGTGCACCATTACAAAATATTTGTATATTAATGAGGAAAAAAAGCTTGCGAGGCAGCACACGAAGTATTCACAGCAGGAATATGATTGAAAAACTAATAATATAAATGTAAGATGTTGACTGATGTTTGCAGGAATAGCATCTGACTTTTAGCACTGGCCTTGATTACACAGGAGATGGAGCAGCCATTACAATTCAGACGAAAAAAAACCCCAATAAATCATTGTCAAATTTGGTAACAATTTGTTTCAAGCCCACGTTTTAGTCGATAGCCTCCACATTTGTATGGTTAAGTCATTGTTGCTGTGTTTCCTTTCTGTGACCCCAATAATTTTTTTCTCCCTTCATTTGCGGGTCCTTTAGGATGTCGCGAAGGTTCACTCCTGTACCCCTAATACAGAATCACTCCCTCTAGCTGCCTTTTCTAGCACCATTACACTGGAAAACAAAAAAAAATAAAATGCACAAACAACAAGCAGTGACAGCGGCGACTCTTCAATTGTCCAGGATGAATTACGGCAGCATGCTAAAGAAAGGTGCACGTAAAGAGCCGGATATGGTACACGGGCCAAGCTCCAGCAGACTCTTATTCCTTTCTGAGCATTACTTTCCATCCCCCATCCAAAATACATGCAATTAGAATGTAGTAAAACCTTCTAGAAACATCTCTGAGCCAACTGCAGACTTTTCTGTTGCCACACAAGTGCAAAAAAAGGGGCAGGATGTGAACCTGTATATTTTCGAAACTTCGTTTGGTGACAGAACACAAAAGGAAAAAATTCCTACGTATACACATTAGGTCTGTCTCCACTTTTATAAAACTGGAATAAAATGGGAAAGTGCCATGTTTATAGTTCCTAATTGAAGTTTTAATGTCCTTTTGACACAAAAAGGTATATACACATCAGAGTAACTTTTTTTTTTTTTCTCCAACTGGACAAGTGTCAAACCCTGTAGATTTATAGGGCAAAACAAGATTGGTCAGGAAAGAATTGTTCCTATAATTGGTAATCTGACACTATGTCCTTCTGCCATTTAAAAAGGTCCTTTTTTCAGTTTATTCAAGTTTGTCACTCTTCGTGGTTGGGTTTTTTTTTTTGTGTGTGGGTTTTTTTTTTTATCTCCGATAAAAAAAATATTCAGACTTTTGTAATCTGCGTATGCTGATCTTCATCAAAAGGTTCATTCTCTGGATCAGAGTCAGTGGTGTCAGAGTATCTATAATGATCAGGTTCATTGTCACTAACATCTGGTGTTACAGAAGTTGAACTGCTAGCCTCTGGATTTGATGGCTCTTCTACTGTTTTTGTGAAAAATAGCTTCACCTGGGAAAGGAGAAAAAAAAAAAAAGACATTTAAAAAGGGACCCTGGACTTTAACCAAGCACAAGTAACAATGCAATTTTTAACAGCGTGGTTCCTTTCGCTACACTGAATCACACCAGTGCCCTTCTTTCTACTCTGGAAAGAAGGACATAAAGAAAGAGGTCTTCTAAGGTTAGACAGCCACTCACAACCACCCCGGAGAAAATAAAAAACCAGCAAAGCAGCAGGTTCTTCAAGCCCAGCTGAAGGAGTCCTGCGTATCTGCACCAACCACTGGTACCCTGGAGTTGCAGCAGCAGGACGTACCACCACGGCAGGCGGTGCCACGCTCAGCTTTTTGACCATCCTACCTTCTACACCTCCGGGAGCACAAATAAGAGTGCCCAGGAACCAACAAAACACTAACTTGGTGACTTGTGTGTGTGAAAAGTATGACCCAAGCAACTTCCCAACAAGCAACTCTGACCATTACCTTCAAACGAGCACTACTGGGGTCTGATATTTTATGAGCAAGTTAAAAAACGCCAAAATTCTTAAAAAGGCCTTTTTCATTTGTAAAACCAGTGCCGGCAAAGGCTCATACTGGTTCAAGCTGAACTCACAGGGTAAGGTATTCCTGGGAAGCAGGCTCCTCTGCAAATGTTCAGCTCAGAGCTCCTGGCAATGCAGCTGGTACAGGAAACACCACCAGGGTCTCCTACTACTGGTCTCTAATGGCTTTGAAACAACCCAAAGCCTTTACTCCCAGTCTCTCACCATCTATCGACTTCCCAAAAAGCAGATAAACTTCCAAAGCCGGAAGCTTTGCTAAGTGGTGGCAATACTAATACACAAATTCGATTTCTACGTTGACAGCAGTTTCAAACGGTTCCTCCATCAGGCAAGACAGACAAATCAGATCACGTCATGCAGCTTTTTGGCTTTGTTTACCCATAATATATACTGACCTTGAAGTTTGGAGAGAAATATCTGTTGGCTTTGTCTTTATTTGCTTTGTCTAGATCGTTTTTTGTTAATGTAAGGATTAAATACTCCTTATCGTTATCTGAGCGCTCTGTACTGAAAATACCATCGAGTTCCTGATCTGCAACTAGACTTCCATTTTCTACTTTGTCTGAATTTTCATCCAGTCCTATGAAGAATGTATTTACCCAAAAGTGAAACATTTTGTCCTGGGGGAGGAAGAACACAAATAACAAGATCGCTTTAGTTTTCACTAGCGACACATTCAGTCAGACTAATATCATCATCTGGTCAAAAACAAACGGGTAACGTCAGGCAAAACTGGTTTGGACAACAGTACGTCACTGGTTACATTGCATGCAAAGACATTTTCACCAGTTCTCCTGAACAACACACAAAACTGCATGAAGCAAACTCCATTTTAACCAATTCAGCTTTCAGAAGTCACTCCTTATCGAAAGTTGGTTTTAAAACAAGCTGTATCTACAAAAAAAAAAAAAAGCAGATTAACAACAAACAAGTGTTAACTTGTAGTTAGAAGGCAGAAAGAGACTGGGGTTTTTTTGCTCATACCTTCCAAACAGCAGCCAAATCCAAGAGACAACCTGTGTGAACCAGCATGGGCGAGTAATATTTATCAACAGAGGCCATCCTTCCCCACAGCTTCCCGCGTAACGGAACGTTTTCCTTAATTTTTCATACAAGAAGTGGCTGTAATTGAGCAAAACCACCCTACAAACACGGGATTCCTATCGCAGTGGATTCATTACTGCTCCACGGAGATGGTTTCTACCACCCAGGTGTTTGCTGACCAGTACAAAGAGAAGGTCAGACTCTGAAGGTGCCTGCGGTCCTTCTACTCAACAGGAAGTTTTCCAGGAGAAGATGAGGCATTGACAGTTTAAGTGCAATGAACTTAAGCAGAACTTGACAGGTGACCCTTGACAGCTGAAAAGGTGCAAGTTAGACTATCCACTGCAACAGGTAGACCTGTACAAAGAGGCAAAATTATCAACGTATCAGTGATTTTAAAAAGTCACTGGAGAACTAGCTGGTACCAGTATGCTTATTATCACCGGCAGGGTCGGTGTGTCTATCTCCGTATGTGCTACAGAACAAGCAGCAACGTTTTGCTCTTGGCTGAACAATCTCTGAAGATGACACACCCAGGAACTTCACCTTAAAGCTCTCAGCTAAACAGCTCCATTGGATGCACTGAATGTTTTAGTTCTCCCACTTGCCTTAGTTTTGTCAGTCGAGAGCTGATGTTTCCAAGATCAACTGCCATCAGGTCGGTCGCAACTCGCACACTAAGCACTTCTCCATCTGAAACCGAGCTACATTTACTTCCTTTTCACAATTGAAACCTTCTATCTTATTCTGAGTTTTCATGCAAAATATCCAAAATGCAAACAGCCACTCTTCTCACAACAGTCAGTACTCAGAATCACAGAATGGTTTGGGCTGGAAGGGACCTCAAAGATCATCTAGTTCCAACCCCCCTGCCATGGGCAGGGACACCTTCCACTACACCAGGTTGCTCAAAGCCCCATCCAACCTGGCCTTGAACACTTCCAGGGATGGGGCAGCCACAGCTTCTCTGGGCAACCTGTGCCAGTACCTCACCACCCTCAGAGGGAAGAATTTCTTCCTTGGATCTACTCGAAATCTCCCCTCTTTCAGTTTGAATCCATTGCCCCATGTCCTGTCACTACACACCCTTGTCAAAAGCCCCTCTCCAGATTTCTTGTAGCCCCTTCAGGTACTGGAAGGCTGCTAGAAGGTTTCCCTGGAGCCTTCTCTTCTCCAGGCTGAACAGCCCCAACTCTCTCAGCCTGTCTTCATAGCAGAGCTGCTCCAGCCCTCGCATCATTTTTGTAGCCTCCTCTGGACCCCCTCCAGCAGCTCCGTGTCCTTCTTGTGTTGGGGACCCCAGAGCTGAACACAGCACTGCAGGGGGTCTCACAAGAGCAGAGCAGAGGGGCAGAATCCCCTCCCTCACCCTGCTGCCCACGCTGCTTTGGATGCAGCCCAGGACACGGTTGGCTTTCTGGGCTGCCAGTGCACATTGCCAGCTCATGTTGAGCTTCTCATCAACCAACACTCCCAAGTCCTTCTCCTCAGGGCTGCTCTCAATCCATTCTCCGCCCAGCCTGTACTTGTGCTTGGGATTGTCCCGACCCACGTGCAGGACCTTGCACTTGGCCTTGTTGAACTTCATGAGGTTCTCACAGGCCCACCTCTCCAGCCTGTCAAGGTCCCTCTGGATGGCATCCCTTCCCTCCAGCGTGTCCACAACACCACGCAGCTCAGTGTCATCTGCAAACTTGCTGAGGGTGCACTCGATCTCACTGTTCATGTCGCTGACAAAGACGTGAAATAGCACTGGTCTCAGTACTAACCCCTGAGGAACACCACTCGTCACTGGCCTCCACTTGGACATTGAACTGTTGACCACAACTCTTTGAGTGCAACCATCCAGCCAATTGCTTATCCACCGAGTGGTCCATCCATCAAATCCTTGTCTCTCCAATTTAGAGACAAGGATGTCGTGTGGGACAGTGTCAAATGCTTTGGACATGTCCAGGTAGATGACATCATTTGCTCTTGCCTTATCCATCAATGCTGTAACCCCATCTTAGGGGCCACTAAATTTGTCAGGCACTGTTTGCCATGTTGGCTCTTTTTTCCCCATGTACCTTAGCATAGTTGCCAAGAGGATCTGCTCCATGATGTTGCCGGGAACAGAGGTGAGACTGACTGGCCTGTAGTTCCCTGGGTCTTCTTTTTTTTCCTTTTTAAAAACAGGGGCTGTTTCCCCTTTTCCAGTTGGTCGGAACTTCACCGGACTGCCACGACTTCTCAAATATGATGGATAATGGTTTAGCAACTTCATCTGTCAGTTCCCTCAGGCCCCATGAATGCATCTCATCAGGCCCCATGGCCCTGTCCACCTTCGGGGTCTTTAGATGGTCTCAGACCTGGTCTTCCACAGTGGGCAGTTCTTCATTCTCCCAGTCCCTGCCTTTGCCTTCTGTGACTTGGGCTGTGCAGCTGGAGCTCTTGCCAGTGAAGACTGAGGCAAACCAGCCATTGAGAACCTCAGCCTTCTCCATATCCTGGGTAACCAGGTCCCCTGTTTCCTTCCAGAGAGGGCCCACGTTTTCCCTAGTCCTCCTTTTATCACTGACATACCTATAGAAGTTTTTTGCTGCCCCTGATGTCCCTGGCCAAATTTAACTCTATCAGGGCTTTAACTTTCCTAACCTGATCCCTGGTTGCTTGGACAATTTCTCTGTATTCTCCCCAGACCACCTGTCCTTGCTTCCACCCTCTGTGGGATTCCTTTTTGTGTTTGAATCGGTCCAGGAGCTCCTTGTTCATCCAGGCAGGCCTCCTGGTGTTTTTACCTGACTTTCTCTTTGTTGGGATGCATCGTTCCTGAGTTCTGAGGAAGTGATCCTGGAATATTAACCAGCTTTCTTGGGCTCCTCTTCCCTCCAGGGCTTTATCCCATCATACTCTACCAAGGAGATTCCCAAAGAGGCCAAAGTCTGCTCTCCTGAAACCCAGGATAGTGAGCTTGCTAAGTGCCCACCTTGCCGTCCTAAGGATCTTGAACTCCATCATTTCATGGTCACTAGAGTCAAGGCTGCCCTTGAGCTTCACATTCCCCACCAGCTCCACCTTGTTGGCAAGGATAAGGTCCAGCAAAGCACCTCTCCTCATTGGTTCCCCTACTGCTTGGAGAAGGAAGTCATCATCAACGCATTCCAGGAACCTCCTGGACTGCTTGTGCCCTGCTGTGCTGCCCCTCCAACAGATACTGGGGTGGCTGAAGTGCCCCATGAGGACCAGGGCTTGTGAACGTGAAATTTGTGACCAGAAATTTCTGCATTTCTGTTAAAGACGCAGGGGTGACAAAGCCAGCACATACCAGAATGTAACATGCCTCGATATTATACAGGACCAGAACACAAACCAACTCCTTCTGAGCTAATTTATATATTTTGGTTTACCAGATCTAATTCCTGTTTCTTACTAGAAATTCCAGGTCCTGCCCCATCTTCCTAGATATTCACCTCTGTTGGTTAGCAGGGGGACAGGAATCAGAGGTGGAACAGAAATGGTTCCAGTGTGTACCATATGAGCATGCCTCCCTGCTGAAGGCAACGTGGCACCTGCAAAACATCACAATGTTTTCCTGGGCCAACGAGAAGGGGGCAGGGAAGAGCTGGACTACTTCTTCACTTATATTCTTCTTCCTCACCAATTAATAAAAAAAAAACACATAAGCACACAAATATTAGGCATTCAGAAGTGTCTGATGAAACAATTTCTACCTGCCCTCTCTACCAAAGTTCAGTAGATCCATTTTCAGTATTTTAAGCAAGGCATACAAAACCACTTCCAGCTTATGAGCATTTCTGTAAGCATTTAAGAGACCCCCAACCTGTAAGGAAGTGCAAAAGACAAAAGTTAAATAATTCAGTCAGAAACCCTTCCGGTAGTGAAGAAGTTCCATGCATGCCTTTGATGCATGCCTCTCCGGTACCTTTGGGAATCAAGTTAATCTACCAAATGAATGTGCTGTAATTACAACTGTCTTGGGAGATGAACAGATGTTTGCCACTGCTACCAAGTCCCTTCAAGACATCACACTCATGAAGAAGCCTTGTTGGAGCCCATTCATGCAAGACAGCAGTTGGTAGGTTCTTGCCAGGCCCAAACTGCTCATATATCCTCCTCTTCACTAACACTACCTCAGAAACAGTCTTAAAAATGCCCACCCCAGGATCTGGAAGTAGAGGATGAACATGCTAGGCAAGAGGGTTTATTCTTCTGTAATGCTCCAAAGGGTCATCAGCCTTTGATGTCTTGTGAAGAAAGTGGCAGTAGGCAAAATCCCCGTGAAGATGTCTTCAGGGTAACCTGGACCAGGCTCCTCCTATGCCCAGATGGTAAGTCCCTCAAAAGATACATAGCTCTCTAAGGACATGAGACTGCTAGTCCTGTTCAACCTGAAAGACCAGCTCAGGTCAAAAGAGAAACAACCAAAGGCATCAGCTTTCCAGCTACAGAACAGGAGGGATTTGGAATCTAGGCATCATCTGCAATTAAACAGCAGGAAAAGGCAAGCCCGAGTTGATGTTTCCAGCATCCAATAGCTCTGTAAGCAAGTGGATATTCCACCTGCAGTCTCACCACT